CGTATCGAGTCCCTAGTATGAACTCGGAGGATATCATCTAATTTCAAACCGTGATATTACTGACCTGTGGTTTGTGGAGGATAGAAGGAAAATATAAATGTGCAAAACAGTTTTCTAATGTCAGCTTTCAGGTTACATATGGCGCCTTAATATTTTATGTGCAAACCTTCAGATTGTAAGTGAGGTAACACTTTCTTCTCTGCATGTTTGAGCCCGCCTCAGATCACTTTTTCTCTTCAGCTGTATGCGCGAGATAGGTAGTTGCATACAACGAAAGTGGAGAAGAAATCTGAAACGGGCTATTGTAGAATATTCTGTATAAATTTCAAGCTAAAGATTTGGCTTGTTTCCCTTCGCAAGAAAATAGTAGCGAAAATTTTAAACACTGCGATGGAGTTACGTGGTTTTGCACTTTGGCTATCGATGTGTGATTCTAATAGAATCTATGTTCGTATAAAACAATTTCCGAAAGAAAATTATTCGTAGAAAAACAGAACTGTGCGGACAGAAATTAGTGAAAGTAATAATGGTCGTGCACTCCTCGGCCTGGACAATAGCTTTCGCAAGCGACTATTTTACAGCGTAGACCATAAACAAAAATCAGAAATAGGACTGCCAAAATTTGGATATTCAGAACAGGTGCATGGCTTACAAACCATGAACCTGCTGGTAGCATTTAAACGTATTGAGAAGTCCATATGTTTTACAATGGAGTGTGCAGACACCCAGAAGTAGGGTCGATGGGGGAAAGTTTCAAATTTCGAGGGTCGAGTCTATTGAGACTGGAAGAGATTTTGGCCGGGAAGGATCAAACAGCCTTCAAGTCAATATACCTATCAGTGATGTATCGAATTTAAAATACTCCTGTTTCTTTCCCCTTTTTTATTTTTAAAATATATTTAGGAGGATCACCGAAAATGACGAGGGAAAAATGAGACACAAAAATCGAACAGTGAGGAGGGCACCCCTTTATTGCAGTAAACATATCGTTATCTTACATCAAATGTAACTTTTCGAGTGGTATCCTTCCGAAAGCAAATAAGGAACTCTTCAGGGACTCATCGATAAAACATAAAATAAAATGCGGTTTCGGCGGTCAACCCCAGACTCGTGACACTCAATTCCCGTTCGCAGAGAGAACTTACAGATAACAATTGAAATTGAAATAAAAAGACCCTAAAATGGTAATCAGAGCAGAGCAGTTGTAGCCAGATTTTCAACCGCAACCTAATGTTTACGTATTGTTCCTTTCAATTTTATTCACAACTTAATCGACCTAAAAAATCTCTTGAATATGAGATGTATCACATAGACAGGTTTTATTTTATTTTTTCACGTTTTCTCAACAATCTGTCAGGTTCAGCAATAGTTGATACTCTTGATTTCATTTTAAATTATATCTTTGGAAATAGACAGTGAGGAGGGCAATGCACATCTGTTCTACAGAATTCGTTTTACACAATTTTTTAAGCATCAAATAGAGAACCATGTAACACATTCCCAAAATGATTTACTCAAGATGTTAAGCAGTGACAACGCTCAGTTGTTTTCTTGAACCATATATCTTTAAAGAACAGATGGAATTGTCTTCAGGCCATTCACATTCAGCTCAAATTAAACCTTTCGTCAAATGAGCCTTAACTAAAACCTGCACCACGCCTGACTTTATCAATCATTAAAATAATTTTTTTCAATAGATTGTTGAACCTGATCAGGTAAAGTTTTTGCTGGGAGTATACTTTTCAGATAAGATAAAAAATCAGTGTTGCTGTTTTGGAATATTGCAGAAAATTCTCGGAAATGTATTCAATTATTTGCAAATGACATTTTTTTCCTGATTCCAATCGTCCAAAATCAATTTGTTTCTAACAATACAATTCCTCGCACATTTCATCGATTTTAAAGCTTGAAAACTGAGCTCTTATTTATATTTTTGTGGTGTTTCTTTGTTCCTCCATCTGATCATAATCAGGTCTACCTTGATCTTAATATTCTTCTTCATCGTCATAATAACTTTGTTCATCCATTTTTGTTGGCCAGTCAAAGAAAATCCTCCAGATTACTCTGTACAGAAACAGAAGAACAACCGAAAAGTGTTATTCAAGTAAATGAAACACAATGCAAAAATTTGGTGTAAAAGCCAATATGATACGGGTTGGACACGTGAAAAAGACGTCCGCTGTTTCTTTCTGTCGTTTTAATGGAAAAATTTTTCATTTAATTTTAAAATTTCATTTAATTTTCAAACCCTCAAGCGCTTAATCCAAGTTTTTAATTTGCATCTTTTTTACAGTATGCGTTTTTAAACGAAACCCATTTTTGAGTCAAAACAAAGGATGTAGAAATTCTCCTGTAATAGGAAATTTTCAGAATCGAGAACTCTTTGGAAATTTCTAGCGGGGAGGGTTCCAAATCGGAATTAAATCAAGACCTCTTTCGCCTCTAGCATTTTTGGTCTTCATTATTTTTTTCAAAATGATGGGATTTATATTACATAGGTAGTAGTTTAGTTTCTTACTAATTTCATACTGATAATTAAATTAAGAAACTGGTGATGATTACCATGGTAGACATTGCTTCTGCAAGCAGGTCCAAATTCCTAAGAGACAACTTTGGCCTGAAGGTGCGGGTGGTGGTGGATTTCCCAGCCAATCATTTGACGACGGATTCTGAGGTTGAATGTTCTCCGGTGCCCCCAGAACTATTTGAACTATGTTACACTGATTTGAAAATAGATCGCGGAAACATCTTCCGCAGACCATAAGGGTTTGCACCCTGCTCATCACCAGTTGAAACGGAGTGTCGATAGTTCCTTGCAGTTCTAATCGCGGATCATTAGCTGGAATTACATCCTCATCAACTGCATCAAGAGGTATCGTACCCTGGAAAAATTGAGAGAAAGATAAAACACCGATTAAAAGTAATAATAATACAATTGATCCTATAAGAAATGCTTAAACTCAATTCATCCCAAATTTGTTTTGAGATTGATTTGCCACCATCCCATTATTCCTCTAAAACCGGTGATAAATGCTATTGATGAGTTCGTCTGTAAAGTGTCTTAGAATTGTGGGTATTTATAATTTTAACTCCTACTTTTAAAGTAATAAAGATGACACCCGTAGTAAACTGTTAAAAGCAAAGAGGAATGCAGAATAAGTGTACTTACCTATCAGTTTATTTAACATTTAAACATAGTTCCTTTCATGTTCCAACGTCTTTCGAAACTTCATAAAAGCTCGGAGGAAAGAAAAAAAACTAGAATCAAAAAGAAATTTTCCACTCACAAGAATCACAGAACAAACTGTATCACTTGAAACACGTTGTAAAAAAAAGTTTTCTTATTTTTAATTCCCGTGATTCTGTTTTGAGGTGCTGAATTTTCATTTTTAGTGATTATTTACTACTCCTTTTTTCGAATCTAGCTTAAAAACTGGCTCAGCAATGTAATGAAAATAATACAATTATTCCGCTTCCTCTTCGTTTTTAGAGTTTAACTAGGGTACTAGCGAATCATTAATGATTAGCAACATACATAATATAAAGCGAGTAATCTCCTCTGTTATAAAACTGATGGTTTTTGAGACCATAGTACTGAGTCCTTGGAAGAATAAGAAAATGGATGTTCGTTTCCTCACCCTCAGCTATTGCATTAAACATTAAATATGTAAAAAAAGGTCTCGTGAGCATGAAGTATGTACTATACCTAAAAATATAAAAATTGTATTTACCAGAAGTTAAAGACCGACCGAATATAATACTTAATTATTTTTTTATTTTTCTGTATAAATACATCTGAGTAAAAATTAAAAAATTAAAAAAAGGAAAGATTGTTTATCCTAATCAAGACGAGACCTATCGGGTGGGATCAATAAAGCCATCAAAATATTTCCCATTTTCGGTTTTTACAAAATGTTTCATTTAAAATCTAATTTTGACGCTCCACCTTTGCATGATCCGAAGAGACGAATGCTTTCAACAGATTTGACCAAGAATCTCACAATCAGGCAAGTTTTAGACATTAGTTTTGATATCCTTACTTGTGAAATATTCTTAATAATATGTACTCTTCAAGGGATCCAAGAGTAACCTCTCAATTTTGGACGTACACGTTTAGAAATAAACAATGCATAAGTTCCTTTCAATGCAGCAGAAATCTTCAAACAAAAGAAAAAGGCATGCATTTCGCACCCAAGTATACAAAAGGACGCAAGTATTTTGTAAGACTGCAACGATTATAGCAATGGACGTTTTTACAATTTATTTTGAGCTTTGCTTCTGTATGGTGCATTTCAGGAATGATGTTTTAAGGGAAGTTTAGTAAATAAAAATAGAGGGCGTGCATTAGCAAAAATAATGTTACGCGTGCAATGACATTTTCCGAATAAAAAGGAATGTAAAAGCAGTATCCTCATCTTGCAATGTAGGGTAAGTTTCTGCTTAACCTCAGGTCAAGGTCCCTATTGAAATAATACACATGTCTGTGATCAATTTGAGTGGCCGTCTGGTATAGCAAAACAGAACAAGCTCCTGGTAATCTCATTGCAACACAATGAATTTTGAATTTTAAATGACGTTTAAATTGGTACTCGCAATACAACGTTTACTTTAAATTTATTTTTTTAAACCATTGCACCGTCTTATTGTGTATGAATGAATTGCCAAAGTGGCAGCATAGGACTTGAGGCTTGGTGAAAGGGTATTATTAAATTGCGATGGAACCAATGCAGTTCATTACGGACGGAGGAAAAGTTACAAGGAGCCAGCTGTTTCAAGCAGCGTCAGGTACTTTGATTCAAACTTCATACATATCAAGCATTTTTGTTTTTTTTTTCTAAAGAGTCAACATAATCCTGACACTATCAAGAGAAAGAACTGGCGGAGATATGAATAGAAGCACTTAGACTGCCCTTTTGACCATCCTCCCTCTTCATTGGACCTATAGTCGCAAAGAGATTCGAAAATATTAAAGAGCCATAAATTGCAGACAAGGTACTTACACAAGAGACGAAATTAAATAAAATGAAAATCAAGGCTGTAGAGAGCACAATCCTGAATTGTTTTGATTTCACCATGACTATGATCGGTAGCTTTAAATGGACACATGGAACTGATCGGCATTGCGGCTAACGTCGAAAGTCATGCTCATTTTTCAGTGGGCTCCTTAAAACCAATAAAATTCCCTAACGAGAGGCAGATACGCTCGCTGTATAGTAGTTTTATGCCCTCTTTATCTCGAATCACACCTCGGAACGATGTATTAATTTGATAAATTTTCCAATTCATTGTGAAATCATGCCTCACGCCGGTTGAGGAGATCGGTTTAGAGCTTCATTATTTTCAATTTCACGACTAACAGCCACTCTACCTGAAAAATCTGCAATGACATAGGTTCTCGGAACTTTGCAAAACCAAACTGCCCAAATTTCACGATCAAATCAATTGCATTCTCAAAAAAGCCTGACTTTCACATTATTTTCTGATATTTTCGACTTGAAAGCGTCATTTTTACCTAGAGGATCCCCCTGATTTCTTCTGAAAATGTAGTTTCTTATTCATTTTGTCTAATTTATTTCAATATTTTTTTTTTTTTTTTTTTAAAAAAAGAAAAAAATTCATATGCACCGATGGCATAAAAGCAATTTCTGCTTCCCCCACTGTTTTAGAGTAAATTCACACAGTTTCATTCATGATGAAAAAAAAGTACCCATCTTCATTTAATGGGCAAGATCCATTTTCCAATTTTTTCTTATCGTTTCATTCAGTTTTAAAATTGCCACTTTTTGTCATTGGAAAGCCAATTTCTTAATAATACCATGTCATTCAATTTTCTCACCTCATTTCAATTCTAAAAAACCTTAACACTTGTTCAGTATGTCCCGAAAAATTATTTGAGTATCTTTGCAGCATTAATGTCTTAAATGCAGGAAGTGAAATAAGTTGAGGAGTAAACATTCAGGAATTGCTAATTACTTGGTCTCTACTTTTGTTGAGGGTACAAATTTAAAACTAAGCCTCTGTAAAAAAGAAATTTCATTTAGTTAAACCATGCCCGAGGGCTTAATCTCATTCCGATACGAAAAAAGGGCAAAATCTTAATCAACCACTTCAAAGGTATCCCCGTTCCAAAGCAAGTTGCTTATGTGAAAAATAAATACCAAATGCCTGTGAAGAAACTTCATTACCATCTGAATTAAAAAGAAAGAGCCAACAAAAAGGGCAGGAGGGATGAAACCGAAAAAGATATAAAAACAAGCGCTGAGGTCTGGTGGTGATACGCGCAGTAAATAATCAAAGAAGCACATGCATCACCTTCAAACAAAATTTCAAGAAATGCTAAACACTTAATTAAAAAAATTAAAAAAGAAAAGGAAAATAATTCCATTTCCTTCTTTTCCTCCAGCGATGTCGAAAAATTCGATTTAGCTCCTTTCCGCGAGTAATTAAATAAGGAATAAACAGAAGCAGGAAGGGGGTGGGGATCAGTGGCGTGCCGCGTTTTGCGATGGATCGATTAATCTGCCATTTAACTCTATGGGGAAGGATCGAGTATCGATTTTCTCTCAGTACTCGATTCTTAACCATAGTTTCAAGGAGAGAAATATCGATAGCCGATGATAGCCAGTGAGGAGGGGAGGGTGGTTGGTGAGTAAAGGACACGCGAAAAATAATGCAATATCCTCTCCTTGAAGTAAAGCGAATTAATTGATTCTCATGCCGGCCGGGAAAAAAGTGAAAGGAAATGACAGCCTTTAAGGGGTGGTCGCCAAACAGAGAACAGATCGAATCCTCAAACAATAAGGCCGGTGGTCCATCGAAGGGCGGTGAAGGATGAGGGGTTGAATGACGAGAGAGACAGGATCTTGTTTGCGGAGTCGAAGTAGATCGGTGTCGGCTTAGCGGAAAAGATGACTTCATGCTGAAAGCAGGACATGATTGGAAAGAAATATCCAGGGGGTTGGACCCGGGCCTGGAGTCGCAGCGCAGCATCTTCCCTCCTCTATTTATTTATCAATTGTTCGGCGTGTTTGACAAGAAAAGGAAACTTCAAAAGGACACGCAGCCGGAAAAGTGGAGTGCTTGTTGTTGTCATTCTGCCGTGCTAAGGCAAAACGCCGCATAAGCCTTCAGACGTTGCCAAATTCCCTTCGACAAATCAGGAATTTTCGGAAAAAATTGTAAATATATTTCTTCCGATTTTTCGGAAAATTTTGTCCGTGATTTGATCTAAAATTTGTGAAAATTTCAAGGAAAAATATTCATAACTTTCTTCAAAAACATGTATTTTTTATATGAAATTTGGCAACGCCTGAAGGCTCTTACGGCGTCCTTCCGTGGCAGGGCAGTATTCATGCCCGGGAAAAGTCTTGGAGCTGAGCCTTAGCGTATTTTATGGCTTTTCTGCGCCGAAAATAGTCAGTCAGGCGCCAGGGGTGCCGCGGCCCGATACGCACACTATTTTATTTCGTTTCGGCGTTGCAAAGATTACAATGCAATGATCAGTGTGGCTAATAATTTTTTTTTTCTAAATTTCATCGCTTAGGGAAGATGAAAATATAACTACAATCTTGGACTTAAGAGCATTTCGATAGACAGTTGGTTCCTAATTTTGACAACGTGCATGCGTCAGATTTGGGTATAAAACCGAAAGTCCTCAATACAAATGGGAAAAGCTCATTCGCGCCCAATTTTTCCTCAAAGACATATGCTGTTTGATTTTTCCCTCGGTATTGAGAATTTTCAGTTATATGGTAAACTTGAACGCACATTGATAAAATCAATAACTTCTTGTCTAAATGACTCACGCGTCAAACCGCAATCAGTTTGAACAAGTGCTCACCGCAGGGTCTCAACGATGTATGATAATTTGCCTCGGGAAAATCGTACAGAATATTTACTGACCCATTTCTTAAAAGGGGCAAGTCATCCTCGTGCATGATACAATCAAATGAGATACAAAACAGCCGTTCTTGAATAAAAGGGCTAAGTTTTACTTTTTACGAAGATATTAGCGTGACGAATGTTACCGTCAAATGGTTTATGAATCAAGCCCTTCAATTTCAAATTGAAGGCAATCAAAGCGAGTCTCTATGCGGAGCCGTGCCACTTATTATCTGCCAACTTTCCGTGTGAATATACGTGAAAAGTAGACGTTCTTACTTTCGCATTCGATTATTTGCAAAAAAAAAAAAAAATTTCATGTCATCAATTATGCCATCACACTATGGAGGGAGCCTAAAAAATAGTTTGATAAAATGATAATTATTGAAAATGTTTATTTTTTGTATCTAATGTGGGAGACTCGCGTAAGACTTAGCTCCAGTCACTCCTTCATAAAGCCCGCACCGAAAAAAAAGATGCTGTAGTAACATCCCGGATGTTACGGTTGTTAAAAAAATGTGCGACAACTCTTGGATGTTGCTATTAACACTCTACTCTAGCAGTTAACGTAGTATGATAGGATGTGAAAGTAACATCCTGAGATGTTACTTTAACAGCCAGAGTGGTAATGACAACATCCAAGAGTTGTCGCACATTTTTTTAACATCCAGGATGTTACTACAGTACCTCTCTTTTTTTCGGTGCGGTAGGACAAATTCAGATCCCCTCCCCCGAGTTGCCCTAACATACTTGATCCTCCCCTAAACCACCTGAAATTTTTGAAACAATTTACTACGATATTAAAAACTCCAGTTCAATCCATTCAAATTCGACGAATAATTGACACTCACGGGTTCGAATCGATGGAGGGTATGAGGGAGTCGTACCCGGGCGGTAGTCTCTCCCTCAATTATTGCGACATAAAGCGGGTTCAATTGGTCCTGCTATTTGACTATTGAAAACGCAGAGAGGCGCGCGAAGGTAAGCAGGGATCCCCGTCAGGGTAGGAGTGATTTTGCCCGGGGCCACAATCAGCATCTCCACCACATCCCTGCCACAGAACGCCGCTCTTTTTACACAAAGGCGTACCTCAATTTTCACATGATCCCCGAAAAGCATAGAGTTATACGGAGAATGGGGCTCACGAAGAAATAAAGATACCTCCTTACATTAGAGAAGCGCCAAGAGGACGAACGGGTGGCCAAAGTGCACAGGGATGCCGAGGCGTGGAGAGGGGGAGGGGGGGGGGCGAAAGGGAAATGAGGTAGCGCTCGCCTCGGGCTGTTGCATGTCGTAACTCTCTTAATTCATACACGTATGGGAATAAATAGGCCGTGTTGTAGTCAATATATCGAATAGTATTTCGATTTATTCCCTCGAGCGAAAGAGGGGAAGGCTGTGAAATCGATAGTAATCGATAGTAAGCTATAGGGGGAGGCACGATCCGTGCTCGATAGTATGTCGCCGATGGGCTCGTGGAGTTACCGTCGTTCTCTTGTCAATATTTGATTAATTAATCAATTAAATTATACGAGTCCAATTTGTCGCAGAGGCCTTGTGATTATTTTATCGCGACTTTTTGTCAAATGGACTGTTCTCGGATACCGAAAAGGGCCGGGAAAATACAAATAAATATAGAATAAATAGGGTCGAAAGGATTGAGAATATATTCTAACAACTGTTCAAGCGTGATGTGCTTTGAGCGAGCTGTTCTTGACTGATTGCTTGGAAATACGTCATCTACATTCAGGGGTTTGGTTTTACGGAGCAACGATAGCAGGATATAGTACAGACTCAACTGCAGTTGCATTTTTGCCTTTTAAATTTTGCCTCTTGCAGCTAAAATTCAACTCCATTCACTATTTATCTCTTATTTCCTTTCTTTTTCTTTGAGAGTGACGGAAATCAGGAAACAGATATTTTTCTTAATTTCAAGAGGAATAAACTCAACTTCTGCTAAACTTACCTTTTTCTTCATATCAAATCAGGATGGGTTTATAGGTTAACAGCCTCCTTGACAAACTCTTCATAAAAATCTAGATTCGCCCTAATGCAGCACTGATTAAAATATGCATACCATCAGGGCCGGATTAAGGGGGTGACCACATGGGCCACGGCCCATTGCGTCAAATCTAGGGGGGGGGGGCGGCAAATTTTGCGATTTCTTTAAATGTAGGTATAAAAAAATCGAATTTAGAAAAAAAATTACAAACGAGAGAAGGTGACAAAATCTCTCTTTTCCTGAGAGTATAGTAATTTCTAATTTTGTCGT